TTCCAAGCTTTTCTCTACCTACTAGAGAGACAGGAACCTTTCTTTTTTTATTATTTTTATATGCATACACACATAAATAAATGTATACATCTAAAAAGAAAAGTAAACCTCAGAGGATTACAGGAGCTCAGGCCTTAAGACATATCAACTATTACAAGACTTGCAACAAATTTGCAGCTGGTGTTTGCTTATTAATTAACTACATCCAAATGTTATGAAGACTGCATCCAGGGTTTAACAGTACACAAAGCAACAGCTTAAGACAGAAACAAGTACAACATACTATAGAATCTGCACATAAAATCTCACTTGCACAAAAATTGCCCAAACTGGTATTTGACCAGGGTGTAATATATAACACACCTATTCACCCAAAGCTTATTAATGAGCAAAATATTTGTTGGCCCCTCAGCCACATATGTCGGCTGATAAGTGGTGGCTTTGGCAGCACAGGGTCTCCCCACATCATGGTGTTGCCTGCTTAACATCACCAAGAGAAGTATCGACTACCAGTCCACACACACATCACTTACTTTGTTCCCATAGGGCAGTGCCAGCCTGAAACACCACTATTGCCATCAACAGCCATCCTATACTCAGTTGACTCTTATATAACCGATATCTGTGGCACAAGGCAGGGAGGAAGTGGGGAATAAATCTGTAGGTTTTTTCAGTTATCCATCAATATTCTTAATGCCAGTCCTGGTTTTTTGAGCACCAAGCACATAGCACAAGCCAATACAGATGTCAGTACAAGTTACAGGAAAGGTACCCCGAGAAGTGTAATAGGACTTTTAAGGACAGGTACAAAGCCCCTACCTTGGGGGATCTTTAAATCTAATAAGATACAAGGCAGCTCCCTCAATACACACAAGCAGTCTTACTAGTTTCAAGAAGCCACCCTGCTCTATACCCTATAAAACAGCTCCCAGTACTAAAAATTATGTCTATAACCTTTTGCACAACTGGATCTGACCCACTACTCCTACACCACTGAAATCAACTGGAAATGTAACACTGCTGAGAGCAAAACAGAAGACAAATAGCCAATACACTTCACAAATGAGGGAAGGGGGCTGGTATATAGCAAAAAGCAAGAAAATGACAGAGTGGATAACTGCAGAGCCTATCTTATTACTGCTAGAGCTTTAGCATTGATTTTTTTTTTTTTTAATGGCATGCTTCACTCTTGGTCTTGCTGTCATGTCAATATTATAGATATGACAGCAAAGGGAGGTCTGGACCTCCTGGAAAGAGTTTCTTTTAAAGAAAGGCTCAAAGGACAAACCAAATCTATTGCATTTGACCCTAGAGACAGATAAAATATAAAGTCTTTATGGAACCCCAAGGAGTCAAACAGCAATGCAGACATCCAGGCATCTCTCTCAATCTTCTCATAATTTGCAAAGTGCATCAGGATCCATTTGTAAGGCACCATGTGGCATGGCCTTTATTTAGTCCCAAACACTTTATAAATTTATAAGATGAATGCTACACAGTTGTTTTGGAAACATGTTTTCACACTTTTCACCCTATTTCCCCTCTGAGCTTGACTTGAAATCCTATTTGGCATGGAGTTTAGATTTCTTAAAAGGAAAAAATCTTACAGCCTTTTTCATAACCGTATCTAAAATATTGACTGTGTTAACACTGTAGCTGCAACAGCTCCATGGTCTGCAACTCAGAGCAGCTAGCCTTCTCCCTGTTCATCAAAACAGAAAGCAACCTAAACAGTTTGGCTGGTTACTCATGTGCTGCATCATGCTGGACTTCCTTCTGACAGGCGCACTTAGCACGATCCAAGCCAGGCTCCAGGTTGCATTGCATTGCATACCCAGATGATTACACAGCAGTTACCTGTATCTAACAAGGTTAATCAGGATTTTAAAAAACCCCAAAACTGGTCACCAAATAACTAGTATAATTCAAGCATTCATTCAGGCTCTATGTAAAGCCACCCTAGAAATGCATAACTACCTAACTTCAAAGCATCAGGCTCCTTTTCACCACACAGCACAATGGCAAAAACCAAAAAGCACAGTAAATACTCCCTTTTGGGGACAAACAACCCAAGTTTCACACTGAGCATCATCCCTATCTTAAAAGGGAGTTAGGGTCTAAAGTTTTTGCAATAACAGCAGTACATATTTATACACCAATATGCATCCAAAAGTGATTTTAAAACAGGGATATAAGTGGTTCTTTTGCCTCTCACTGCACTGCAGCAAAGGAATATGGTAGTTGTTTAATAGCACATAAAAAAATTGCAGGACTGCTCATGGAAGGAAAAATAATCTTCAGGGGAGGGGGATTTAAGTAGGTAGAATGTAATTACCTAAATTGAAATTTGGTGGTTAATGACCTTGTGCTTATGAAGATTGCTACACAGTCCTCAATAATCAGAGCTTCCATTTTAAGTCTCACTGACAGTACTTCCACAACAATGATCATGAAGCTCTGGCCTAGTAGAAGACAATGAGAAGATTAACAGGCTTTTATTTAATGACTCATCTTTTTTGCTGAATCTTCAGGATAACCTAGGTGTTGCCCTGTGACAGTGACTCAGCCTGCCCCTGCTTGGCACAAGTACGTTTGAGACCCAATAGCCCAATAGAACAGGGATGAAAAACTTTAGGCAGAAATAAAGCAGGCAGGCATACAAATTCTTAGAAGATGCAATTTGTCTTGCATAGAAGCATCCCTTACAAAGGGGCTCATTCCCAGCCAGGGGTGAGACCATAGTGAGTGATGTGCTGCCAGGCCATGAAACTGTACCATTTCTATGGTGCTATTAAAAAAAAACAAAAAAAGTGTGATGCCATGAACATATGATTACCTGCAAAAAACCTGCACAGTGCAGAAAACATCCCTCATCCCCCTTTCATCCCTCACTTGAAAAAAACTATGGAAACTACTTACAACATAATCCATTCAAAATGAGGACCACAAGAGGTAGGGAGGAATCAAAAGAAGAGTTGAATCCTTTCCATTCAGTCTCTACTTTTCAAGTAATCTCCTAACCACACAGTTCAGCTGAAATCACAGGTCTGAAACAACCCTTTCAAAAGGTTTCCAGCAGCCTCACCATAGCCCTTCACACTCTGGTGTCACATGTAGCCAGGTGTAATGTCATTGCTGATGTGGAAGTCCCGGACACAACTTTTCACCAACAGGTGACTGCATAAGGCTTTTTCCTTCTTTCTATAACTTAAAAAGCCCTTTTCAGAGTCAAGTAGCATACCTGTCTGAGGGTTAAAACAAAAGTAATATTTAAACACTAAGAGGGACATACAGTACCCAACTCCTTGAATAACACAGCTCCAACACCTTAAAGCAAACTCCTTGTTACATATCAAATTGGAGGGAATGTTTTAACTGATGTTTTTAGCCAGAAATAGGGACAGGCTCTTCTCTTCTTCCCCCACAACTTCATTCTTCCATTCAAGAGCAAATCTTCATTCCAAACCCAGGCTATTACTCTTCGCTCATTTCCTGAATCCAGCCTTTTCAGTGAGGCACAAATCCCTCATGCTTTACTCTGAGCCTACTGCATGCTGGGACAAGATTCCCAAGACATAATAACTAATACAGACACATAGTGATTGAAAAAACAATGCATAATTCAATATAAAGTTTTAAAACTTTAAGGAGCAGCCAGTAGAAAGGAAAGCAGAAAACCTAAACCTCCAACAGGTTCTCAGTCATAACCTGGGCTTGAGACTGCAACACCTTTTTAAGGGCTTCTGAACTGTAAGACAAGAGCTCAGAATTGAAACCCAAATCTTTTCCTACATTTGAAACTGAAACAAGTCTCCAGATTCATAAGCCATCTAAGGTCGTCTGTTATTGCTGACAGTACCTTAAGACTTTAACTGAGGTTTGGCACTTGAAACTGAAAAGGCTCTTAGAAACATTTTGTGAGTCTATGCTGTGCGCCCAGACACTCAGATATAGAAGCCAAAGCATCAAAACCATAACAAACATCCTTATAGATAATACCCACCTAACTGGGAACTAAGAAACTTCCAGGTAGAAAGTGCCATCACTTGAGATTTCTAGCCAGAAAAAGGTTCAAGTAAAACTTCAGACCAACCTCTCCAATGAATCAGCTTCTTCTCCACTTCCTCCCAGTCACAAAGGGTCCCAAAGACCAAAGAACAAGAAGCGCCCTCCACCTGTTCTTGTATATTGCATCAGACTCAAGAGCCATGGAGGCCATTGCTTCCTAGCAGTCTCAGTGCTAATGAGTTAAGCAAGTGGTCATCATTTGCACTGGTGGGTTGCAGGAGTCTCTTTGCAATCCAGTCACTGAGCATGAATGATGACACTTGTGTGTCTGCTGACCTCCCATTCGAAGGAAGGATGTGCTCATGTGCCAGAGACCTCTCCCAGGGCATATGAGGCTCAGCATCAAACTCTGAACATATTCTCCCATTCACTCCTGGCCAAAGATCATGGCAAGACATTGGCAGGACAGTGATATGTGCTAGATGAAAAGATAAGGTATCCTTGCAATTGAGGTCCAGGAGTGGTGGTTCCTTCACCAAGGGCAAGATGAGCTCTCACTAAAGCCTGTATGCTCAGAGGGAGAAGATACCTCTGCCATTTGTGGAGCTGCAAACAAGTTCATAGGCTAGCAACTCTTTCTCTGCTCCAGGGCAGAGGTGAAAAGGGATATGGGAAGGGGAAGAACAGGCCTTTCTAAAATACCTCTCCTCACTCCTCCCCTCTCCACTCACCCTGTCCCCTGTGACTGGGGCTGTCAGCAGCTCTCTATGAAGTCCCCTCTTTCATAATCAGCTTCTTTTGATCACACACTAAAACAGCTGAGGTTCTGTTTAAACACAAGCAAAGAACAAAGCAGGTTGTTACCTATGTATGAAACGTCATTACTTACCTGCCAGATGCCCTGGGAGGGCAGGGAGAGGGAGGGAGAGATGGGGCAGGACGGAGCAAGAGGTGCAGAGGGAGAAGGGGCAGCTCAGAAAGGATATGGGTTGCACACCATTTTGATGCACCAGTTCCGTGGGCTGGTGGTCTGCTTCAAGCAGAAGAAGACAACAGGGGCCAAGTCGGGGTAGGGGACATCAGGGTCCGGCGGGGAGGTGACCTCCTCATCCTCATCCAGCTCCAGGGAGGACGGCAGCTGCTCTGGTGGTGTTTGTTGCTCCAAGACCCCCAGATCCACAGGCTCCAGTGGGCAGATGGCAGAGGCATGAGGGGGCTGTGGGCCTGCAGGCCAGGTGGTGGGAGGCTGGGGGACGTACTCTGCCATGCCAGCCGCAAGCAAGAACCCCTGGAGAGGAGGGGAGAACAAGAAATTAAACCCTCATGAGGAATATGCAGCAAAAGCACAGCACACCCATGTTCTCCCAGCGAGTTCAGAGCAGGGGAGAGCTGCAAAACTGACAGCTCTGACACTGTGATAAACCACAGTCACACTTTGTGTTGAAGCAATTTTAACCAAAACTCTTTCCTGCCAGTGCCTCTTTCCACCAAGACTAGTCCTTTCCTCTGACTAGTCCTCTCCATCGCTAACTATTTAAATCATCCCTGTAGCCCCTGAGACACCCTGGCATGGTGCCATACCATCTCAGGTGATGGTGCCAACTGTTTTGGAGACAACCTGAGCACCTTAATGGAGCACTGCACTTCGGAGTGGCATGGCCCCATCCTAACACAACACAGCCACCCTGCCCTTGCAGTCCCTCACCCAGTCCTGCCAACCCCAGGTTCAGCTCTGATGCCCCATGCATGCCCTCTCCCACCCAGAGACACAACAGGTTGGCCTCGTGCCATGCCACTTGTTGGGCAGACTCTTTTAGATCAACACTGGCAAATACATGTCAAACCTATATAGAATAGTCACTCATTCAAACAGGGAGCTCTAACACAAACTAGTAAACTGCAAGGCCTGGACCTGGGTGGGTGTTAGAGGGACACTCTTAGGAAAGAAAGTTTGTCCAAGGGTGGCCCGATGGTAGCCTGATGGGTGCTTTCTTCCTTTCACCCTCTTGGCATGCACAGGTGTCTGGAGTGCCCGTGCTACCAGTACAGGTTTAAAAGCAATACAAGAGCCCTCAGCCACACTGCAATACAAAATGGTCCAATTAGCAGCAGGACAGGACGTGTCTGTCACCAAGATCCCCCACACAGACCTCATCTCCTCACATCCTGGCCACAGGGTATCCTCCCAGGGACTTGGCTCAGTTTCCTTCACTTTAGGAGCACGCAGCCCATGGATATCTCTGCTAACGCTGCTCTGCTTTGGCATTCTGCACCCTCAATGCTTCAGCCTGAGACCCGTTTGATGCTGGGTCCATGATCTCCAGTGCCTTCCACAGCACTAATCTGCCAGGTCCAGCCAACCTTTCCACCATGGGCTGCAGTCCCCCATCATACCCGGTTAAGACCCTGCGAGCTCTGCCTACCCACTCTGTTCTCTCAGCCCCTGCTTTCAACACACACTTTGATCCAAAACTTTGCTTGTTCTTCGAGTCTTGGTATTTGTCAGAAAAAAGAGCAGCAATTGAAGAGGTTTAGAAAGCAGACATAGTGTCCCTGAGGGGATAGCACAGAGACTCTGAATTCATTACCCCGAAGGCCTGCAGCTATTGGAAAGAAACAGGTATTGTGTCTCCTGACTGGCTTTGAGATGCTGTTCATAATTTTTTAACCCCTATGACAAAAGTGGCAGCACATCCTTCCCACCATCCAGCACCTCTGTTTTCAGTTCCACCAGGTTTTTAATTCTGATCACCTATGCAACTTTTTGTACCACATTTTCCATTCCCTATTCCCACTAGCTCCCCATTGCCTGCTCTGAGCTGGCTCCCTTGCAGGCTATTAACATGCAGTGGCTGAGTCCAGCTTCTTTCCCATTAACATGGAGGAGAAAGGTTAGCAGGCACAACCAGGAGAAATTACTTATTACAGTGCTCAGAGCATCCACACTGATGCGGGCATGACAATGGCAAACTGTGACATACAAAGCTTCATAATCAATACAACTGAGCAAAGGAATGGGAGAAACAACCTTATGAGCATTTCCCTGCTTTCCCTCCAAGCAAACATTCAGGGCGTCTTCTCCATCTCACCACTTTGGGATGCAGCTCTGCCCATGTCAAACACACATGCACAAATTGGGTAGTAGCTGCACCATGGGCAGTTTATCACTGCAATTTGTGCAGCCCAGCGTGACTCATTAGAGGTCATATGGACATAGAGCCAGGCGAATCCCTTTGGAAGGCCTTAAGCTAAATATAGTCCTACAGTAAATACAGTGTGTCCAGCTGCCACACTGGAGATGTAAGTAATGCTCCTTTCCTTCCCGATACTAAATCCTGCTCTGCCACCCACAGCCCCAAGGCTGTGATCATGGTATATTTCCTACATGATGCTGTGTCAAAAGAAGGAGAGGGGAAATCCAAGCAGTGAAGTACTTCTGAGCTCTTTATGCTGAGTCAGTCCTCCTGTCACAGCTTCAAAGTGGGAGTGGTTTTCCTGCCACAGAGACATCCAGTGTCCTCACCACTACCAGCTCAGATGTGGAGGTTGGAATCAGATATTTCCACTATTTTGGCCAGGCTGCAACTGATGTAATGCTGATATTTTCTCTTGGATTGCAATTACTGACTTTCCCATGTCGTAGCATTGCTGTGTAACTTGGTTAGAATGAGCCTGGTACAATATTTCAACCCCAGAGAGGACCTGTTTAAATAAAAATGGTGAAGAGGAGTGAGTTTGCCACATGCACGCATCTGCATACACTGAAAAACATGCATCAACGGAGAGGGTTCCTACCCAGATATAAGATAGTAATAGTAAGAACAGACAGGATTATAAGGCTCCAGAACTCACTTTTGGGATGCCTCTAACCTCCCCTTCGTGCAGTGCTGCTTACTGTGACAAGGGCAATAAAAGAGGACAATTAGATGGTTATAGGGTGGTCAGATGCACGTTCTTCCCACTCAACCTTTGGTTCAGGCAAGTCTATTCACAGCTGTTGGTGACATGCCAGACCAATCAGTGAAAATCAAATCCTTCCCACCCTTGACTTTTCTTTTCTGGCTAAATGCCCTCCAAATGCACAAAAACATTCCCCTGCAGAAGTTGCATGCTGCTGGAGAAGCAATGCTACATCGACTGCACTTCCCTCCCAGGGGAAGGGAAGGTATTTGTAGGCTGGTGGTCTTCCTGCTTCTCTCCCTGTGCAGTCTGTAGGCTGGTGGTCTTCCTGCTTCTCTCCCTGTGCAGTCTGCACCAAAGCCTTCCCCGGAGCCAGGTATCACCTCTGTACTCCTCCTCCCACCATCCATTCCCAAGGGCCATTTAAAAGCACCACCATCCTGAGCCAAGCCCCTGCTGGTCCTGCAGCCGGCATGCACACCTGCCGCAGACACGTGAGCTGGCAGGGACCTCATTGTCTTGGCAGGCACAGGAGAAGATGACAGCCTCTGGCTCAGCTCTTCCCTGATTCTGAGAAAGCACCCAGTCCTGCTGGACTCCACTGGGGAAGAAGGGAGAAGGGTGCTCTGAAACAACAAGGGAAGCAGTGGAGTTAATGAGCAGGGGAGATTGCTTGGGAGAAAAAAGAGATGTCACAATTCAGGGGAAGTGCTTCAGAGTGTGTCTGTTCCCAAAGGCAGATGTCACCTCCTGGTGTGTGCTGCTCAGAATGGTCTCTGCTGAGACATGCTGCCCCTCAGGGCTACAACTGACGTCCTGGGGCTGTTAATGCCACGACATGCCAGGCATGCCACAGTTGACTGAAGTACCATGAGCAAGTCAGCCCAAGGTGTTTTACAGGCATCATGTCCTAGCTGAAGCAGTCTCCTGGCTCCTCACCACCCCTCCTTGAAAGGGGTTTGGGCAGAGAAGGGACTTCAGGGACTGTGGGTGAGGGAGGGCTGACCTTTGCAAAGCCCATGCAGACCTTTCCTGAAAACCTCTAGGGTGCAGACAGGATAGGGGAGACTATCACATCTTGCCAGTGAAAAAGCCTTTTGCAGCCGGACAGGAGAGAGAGATACTGGAGAGAGATCCCCAGAGCTCAGCAGGACATCTCTCCTCCCATGTTGAAGCATCCACAGGGTTCACCTTTCTCCCCACCATCCTTAACCCTGCATCCCTCACCAGCCCATGCTGGCCCAGGGCCATCCCTTTCTGCCTGCACACTGCTTGCATGGGCAACACCAGGGCCCACAGCTGAGATGAAAGTGCAGAGTGTATTTCCTTTCAGTGCAGCCTTACCTGTATACAGCACCTCTCATCCTGAGGGAGCACAAGTCCTTTACAGACCACTCACCTGTTACTCAGAAGCAGCAGGAAGCGCAGCAGCCACACATCCTGCTAACACCCCATAACATCCTTGAAGAAGAAGGACAAAAATTACAACCTTCAGCTAGCGTTGCAGGGGAGAGCAAGACAGCCCTGTCAATCAGAGAAGCACCCGTGATGCATGTATTTATTTATCTCCAAACATCCATCTGAAAGTTGACGATCATCTTGGGGCACAGCTCTTGTGGTCAGCTTCACAGAAACCTGGACTTATTTAGGGATGTTTCTGACTGCATGGCATATTTATGAATGCATGTGGGTGACCCCATTCGGTAGCTGCGTATGCACGTGTGCCTCCCAGGGTGGTCTGTCGTACACAGTTGTGAGCCTGTGTTTGTTTGTTACTATAAATGGCAAGCGCTGGTTGTGTGTTATCTTTGATGCATACGTCTGGCTGTGGGGATGTGTTAGTCACACAGGTTTCACATTTTGAGCATTTGCAGTGTTACAATATAATTAGTAGTACATGGCTCCCTCTGTGTTTATGTTCATCTGGCATTGGCATGTTTCTCTGCCTGTTCATGGGAGGCAGCGCCTGTTCTCGTCTGCCTGTATATGCCTGGAAGTGTATGAGTATCAGTAAGGAACAGGGTCACTTTTATTAGCAGCTAATTTGAAAGAGGAGTTCTTACATCTCCATCATCTCAGCACCAACTAATGTAAGGAGACGTGGCAGAACCCAGCAGAAAGCATTTCAAATGGCACCCAAACCCATCGCTCACAGGTGACAATGTGCCCATGCACCCCTGAAACACCCCATCCATGGCCTGCACCAGAGACAGGGTCTCCCAGCTGCCCTGCCTGGTCAAATGTCCATGACCTGTTGCCTTTCAGCTGCAGGCTGGGTGACTGCTGCGCCTTATCTCCACACATATTATTACCCTCTGCCAGATTTGCTCAGGAGCTTTACAGCTTCCCCCTTTCCACCCTGGTGATTCTGGATTCCTCCTCCCGCTC